CCAAGGATTGAGCCTGGGGAATGTGTTGAACTTAGTGTGCTGGTTGTTGGCCTATAGACTCACCCGAGTTGAATTGGGCCAAAGCAGACCCATTACTCGGAGTTTGCACTACTTGGCCACACAAGAAGGCCTGCAGGATAGAATCATCACTTGACTGGAATGGACGACTCGAACTACTATGATGACTAGACCGCTGACCTTGGGCAGTGAGGTCTATCTGTCCCCGACCTTGACTGGATGATCTAACCCTAGGGTTATGGGGTTATGATATTCTCTTTCCCTAGCACTGGACTGAAAGAGTGAAGAGAGGCCATAATCATTGTCAGATGGAGTCTGTCCTCGAGGTAATCCAAGACTCGAGTGATGACTAGAGTTAGACTCATGTCCCTGAGTTGGTTGAATTGGCAAGCTAGCATCCCTAGGGTTATCCTGGTTTGAGCCGACAGGTTGAACATGGCCTATAGCTTGAGCTTCTGACCTAACCTGCCTGGATGGACTTCACTGGATGGTGTACCCTCGACTCAACAGGTCTTGAAACTATGCATGTACCCTAGGATTGTCTTGGTACCTGGTTATGTCAAAATTCTGACTTTTACTGGTGCTGGATTGCTTGGGTAGACTTTCCTTAGTTGTGTGTGAACTCACTTGCCCCCTAACTGACTGATTACTAAGACTCGAATGCTGGGCTGCTAATTGAACATTGGGGTTAACCCGGCTGGGATTGACCGACTCAGAGATCTGGGCCAGGGCCTTACCTTTGGTATGTCGACTGGATATAAGACTAACCCCCATGTCTTGGAGGATTGCCCTTGGCCTAACTCCTTGACTGTTTAGAGTGTTACGGACCCTACTAACCTGCTGGCTCGTGCCTTCCAAATGATGGCCCTGAGGGCGGCTTGGACCACTAGATATAGTTCCATGTGGGTTGAGACTTGGTCATTGACATGAGTGCTATGGATTTGTGAGGGAGCACGGTGATGGTGCCTCTCAGACTGACTAGGTTCCCTGGATCTAGACTGGTTTGGAGCCATAGGGTTGAACTTTGCTTTGCTTTGATCCTAGGCCATGACTCCTAGACTTGTGTTAAAATAGGAAGGTTTGGACCTAGCTCAGGCATGGACCAAGACTAGGCTTTGATTTGAACCTAGTTGGACTAGGGATCGAACCTAGCTATACCTAGACTGAATATGGGTTAAACTGAGGCCTAGACCAAGGGTGAGCCTTGCTTGGACTTATGGACAGACTTGAAGTTGAATCTTGGTTTGGACCTGATTCAAGAGTAGGTCTTAACTGGGCATAAGCCTTGTCCTAGGCCGAGAAAGACCTGGGTCTTGACTTGATGGACTTAGGTTTGAACCCTAAACTAAGATGAACCTAGTCTGGGTCTAGGGACAACTCTGAATCTAGACTTAAGCTAGGACCAGACTTGATGGATTTTGCTAGACTCGATGGGTTTCGGTTTAAACCTTGAGCTAAGATGAACCTAGTCTAGTTCTAGAGGCAACTCTATACTTAGACCTAGGCTAGGACCTAGACTGAGATCTAGAGTAGATGGGTACGAGTTTTTATTTGGACTGAGAGGGGGCCTAGGTTTGGACTTGGGTGTGAACCTGGTTCGGACTTGGGCTAGGCTGAGCACAAGCCTGGGCTTGGACATAGAGGGTTTTGAATATCAGACGGGGTGTTGACCCGCATTGGATCAAGGTTGGGTTAGGCATGAGCCTTGGCTAGGACCAAAAGGGGGGGCCCAGGTTCGGACCTAGGTGTGTACCTGGTTCGGACTTGGGCTAGGCTGAGCACAAGCTTGGATTAGGACCCAGAAGGTTTCAAATTTAGACCGGGTGTGGATCTGGACTAAGGTCTAGGTGAGATTTGGCATGAGCCTGACTCAGATCAAAAGGGGGCCTAGGTTCGAACCTAGGTGTGAACCTGGTTTGGACCTAGGCTAGACCGGGTACAAGCTTGGACTTGGACCCAGGAGGTTTCAGCTCGGATCAGAAGTGGATCTAGACTAAGATCTAAAACTAATCAACTCAGATATGCAAACAATGCACTCGAAAACTTTGCCCTAAACTATAGGTAAGCTGGGTTTGGGTGGGCTCCTAACTATTGAAATGCTGCTAGGCTGAGTAGGTCCCACCTGTTAAAGGAATCAACCAGGTCCTACTATGTGTGGCGTTGCTTTGAGGCTAAGGATTATGGAGGGGCGCTCACAATTAAAATTATGCGAATCTCAACCGCCTTGGCTTTCAAGGCTAGGTTCCCCTTATGACGCTAATGCTGGATTTTGGGGGCTTTCAAAAATTTTTGTTGGTTTCCCGGGCTTCCCCGGTCCGTTGTGTGCAAGAAGTGTGTAAAGAAACACGTAAGTGAAAAGAAAGTGGCAAGCAAGCTAACACATATGAAAAGTAGCACTTGGCACAAATCGTGCCAAGTGAAGTGTGCTTCGAGTTGGGTTTAACCGACTGAGAGCACAATTAAGGTCCAAGGGTAAGCAACCCCTAAGAAGATCTATAGTTAATAAAAGTGGAACTGGGCATATCCATGCCCCGAGTCGAGGGTGATTCAATTAAGGCACAATTAGAGAGAGATCGCAGGTGACCTTGGAAATTTTTTTTTTAAACCCCTTTTTCTTTAATGAAAAGAGAAAGAAGCATCAAATGCCGAATTACAAGCAAAGAAATGGAGGATAATTTTTTTTTTTGACAATTTTTTTTTTCTTTTTTTTCTGAAGGAAAGATGCCTTAAAAGTTGATTTTTTTTTAGTGAAGATTCTCTTTTTTATTTTTTTATTTTTTTTGGGAAAATGAAATGGCTTACAAAAAGAAGCTTTTGTAGCAATAGTGATTTTTTTTTTAAACCAAATAAGCTTTAAAAGTTTTTTTTTTTTGCAAAGCAAATTTTTTTTAAAAAAAAAATAAAAAAATGCGAAAGGCCTTAATTTTTTTTTTTTGCAAGCAAGATGGCCTTAAAAGATTTTTTTTTTTATAGACAAAGATGCTCGAAAAAAATCGCAGATTTTTTCTTAGGAAAGTGATTTTTTATTTTAAAATAAAATGGCTAAAGATACTTTTTTTTTAGTGGATAAGAAAGATGGCCTCAAACACTCACTTTTTTTTTTGGAGAGAGAATATCCTTAAAAAAAAAAAATTTTTTTTGACAACAATAATCTTTTTTTCGTTTTTTTTAACAAAGAGTCCTAAAATTTCTTTTTATTTTTTTTAAAGAAAGAGGCTTCTTAAAAAAAGGATATTTTTTTTTAAAGAGAAATAAATTTTTTTTTTTTTGAATGATGAAAAGGCCTCAATTCTTTTTTTTTTTGTTTCTCTTTTAAAGAAAAATCTTTTTTTTTTTTTTTTTTTGTGAAAGCTAAGTCATGCTTCATGTGAGTAATTAATAGAACAACCTCTTTTTAGGAAAGAAGAGAAAGAAGATGTCTGGAGCCCTTATTCCTTTAGCAAGATGATAACAAGTTAACAAATTTTTGATGGAAAGAAACAGAAAGGCGTGATGGCCATGAACAAGAGATCAACTGCCTCTTGTTAGGAAAGAAGATGCTTTAGCAAGATAATAGCAAGTTAACAAATTTTTTATGGAAAGAAACGAAAAGGCATGATGGCCACGAGCAAGAGATCAACTCAACAAAAAAAATCTTGTGTTCCCTACCTTTCTTTTCTTTTGAACTAAGACTAAACACCAGGAAGCAAAAAATAAAAAATAAATAAAAACGAGAAGGTGAGATGATGATAATGCCTCAAAAACAACGAGAAGGTGAGAGAGCACATACTGTGCTATGTGATATACTGAAGGTATTATGAGATGCTGATGGGAAGCATATACATGCATCATTTTATATCAAGTTTGATATTATCAAGGTTGAAAATTTGTATGATGTGCATCATGTAAAAGAAAGCCTACTGATGAGAGGAATCAAAATAAAGATGTATGAGATGATCATCAACGAGAGAGTGTTAGTGCGTGGAAAGCAAGAGAACCTCCAAAGCATAAAACCAGTCACTTGGAGAGAGAGAGAATGCCTGCGAAACCAAAAAAAACAATGGAGAAGAGAGAGAAAACAAACCTATTTTTTTGTTCTTATTATTATATATATATATATATATATATTTATTTTGTGCCCCTCAAAAGGAGAACTGATTTTTTTTTTGTGCATGGATCTAGCTCGAAATGCCCCACGGTGGGCGCCAAACTGTTGACGATGCAAATGGGGACGATCTCAAGATGAGATTCGACCAGATCCGAACCACAAATTGATTTTAAAAGTGATAGAGAGTGGGGAAAATCAAATTCTGATATGAGGCCAGATCTATTAAAAAACGAATAGATCTGCTCTCAGATCAGTGGTAGAGCCAGCATCGATCCAAAAGCACGAAAGATTGAATAAAAAAAAAAACGAATAAAATCATAAATCTAACAAAAATAAATGAAAAATAAGAGAAAAAGAGATGATAAGGAAAATGCGTCCTTTTTGTCTCTCTTTAATGTTGACCAAGCTTTGGCTTGGTTGAATGGTTATCTTGGACCTGGTCTAAGCTTAAGGTTGCAGGTTTAATGACGCTAGGGTTTGTTCTTTCCAAGGCTCAGGGTTTCTACAGGTCTAGGGTTTCTAGCTCTCTCTTAGCTTAAGATGGTCTAACCCTAAAAGGGCATGAAAATGTGTTTTTATAGACTGAAATGGGGACCATGGACTACGGTTTTCTATGGTTCATGGATTTTATGGAATAGTATGGTCCTAAGGGTTGTCTAAGGTTAGAAAAATCATGGAATTTTCCAATTTTTGAAACTGGGGTGTCTACAACTATGAGTATACATGTACAGATCTTGTGGTTAGTGATGCAGTATTTGTGGCCTTATTTCATGGAAGTTGCACTAAAACACTTATATTTATGTCTTAAATAATCTCAGAAAGAGGGGCATATATTAGCTTTCTTGTTAGTATATTGTAACTTTCTTTTTTGATTATGATTTCTTATTGGATGTAGGGGAAACACAACCTATGCAATGGGCAATGAGGTTGAGGGTTGCTCTGCATCTTGCAGAGGCTTTGGAGTATTGTAGTAGTAAAGGACGGGCCCTCTATCATGATCTTAATGCATATAGGGTTTTATTTGATGAGGTAATTATGTTTTCATCAAACTACTCTGTCACATCTTTCCTTCTCCTTTAAATTGAACTTCATGGTTTATGCTTATTGTGGGCTAGCTTTTAAACAGGATGGTAATCCTAGGCTTTCCTGTTTTGGCCTTATGAAGAATAGTAGAGATGGAAAAAGCTATAGTACGAATTTGGCTTTTACCCCACCTGAGTACTTGAGAACTGGTATGTGTTCTAGTCTGACGGATTGTGATGAAAAATTATATATCTGTCGATGCTTGGTTAATTTGTATAATTTGCACTTCGTAACCTGCTTCTAAAGGCTGTTCTTTCATGGATAATGCTAGAACTTTTGCACAAAAATGACTAGAATTGGTGAGGATTTTATCTTAGTTTCATGATAGAAATCACACACACACACACACACACATGCACGCACACACATACCCAAATGCGCATTCACACAGACATATAGATATATAGATAGATCAAAGGTATAGAATATGGATATATATATATATATATATATATATATATATATATTTGGACAGATGGAAATTCTTGTGAAAATTTCCTTAAAAGATATTGGGATGTGGACATGGATATATAGAGGGACAGATGGAAGTGATTGTGAAAATTTTTCTCAAAGATATTGGGATATACATAATAATCCACTAATAATTATTAGCCATCTAATATAATATTTGGATAGGACATTAGTGAAGCTCTACATAGAAGCATGTGGTGTTGAATGAATAGTGAATTTGTTCTCAAGGTTAGTCCAGTGTAATGTACGTGTGTATCGTATGTGCATAGTCATGTTGCTGTTAGGACCTGCATGTTCTTATCGAATCATACAATACTCATATCAATGAAGTGCCCTAAGGCCTGTGATTTGTTGGAACCATTCCCTTCTTTGACTGATTGCTCTCTGCTGCTCATCTCTCTCTTCTGCTTTTACTGTAGCCCTAATTCGAGGTCATAGTTTTGGGCTTAACACAATTTCCATTTTGGAATAAGTTCTAATCTTGCCTAGATATTCAAATTAAAATTTTATTTTCTTCCTTTATCTTTGCTGCTTTTTTTCTGCAACTAAATTCAAGGAAAATGTTCAAATTCTTTCTCATTGACTGAAGCTATGGCTAATCTATTCTTTGTCGAGTCCAGTGTCTGAGCAATTTAAGTTCACTGCATGGAAAGGCACGGAAGAACTCATGTGCACGTGTTTCTTCTTGAGCTAGTAGTCATATTCACATACTAGAAGAGACTCTGAATAATATTTTTTCTCTAGTTTTTGGAGCTAGTATGTATATTCAGGTGTCGGAACAGACACACTGAATGATAATTGTTTTCTATAGTTTACTTATAAAAAAATGCTTTTCTCTATAGTCAGTAATGATATATTTTGAAGTTTCTTTACCTGTAGGAAATGTCCTGTATATATGACTTAGCCTTTCTTTGTTGATTTTTAGTCGTTTTCCTTCTTCGATGTCTGTGAACATGTTTTGTAACATTTGATTGACAGGAAGGGTGACACCAGAAAGTGTAATATATAGCTTTGGCACCCTGCTACTTGATCTTCTAAGTGGAAAACATATTCCACCTAGTCATGTAAGTTTTGATTTTCAAATCCTTGTCATTGTTGTATACCAGATGCGGCTTGTTATTGATCTTCTGTGAACTAGATTTGAGACTCATTAAATGTTCATAATTGTTTACTTGGATGTGGTTTTTATAAGGCTGAGGCCCTAAACGGTCAAAGTAAGGTGCACCTTCAAATAGTGTCGAAAGATGTTGCTTCAGTACTGGAAATCTTTGTGATGGCTTGAAAATTTATTTTTATCTCTCATTATAAAATTTAAAGCTTCAAAATAAGTGTAGATTGAGCAAATCTATAAACACTTGAAAATCTTGAAAATTGACGATCCAAAAAATGCATTACAAGATGCACTATTTCCAAGACTTGAAATTCATTTTTTCTCATGTCCAACATCTTGAGGTCGAGACAATCGATTTGCGGATTTTTGGGCATCGAAACAACTTCTTCTAGTGAATTTTTGAGGTGCACCCTAATTTGACTGTTTATGGCCTCACCCTTATATAAACTTTTTTCTTCTTTTAATGTGTATAAGTTGATTTGTGCTCCCATATTTTTTAATACTGCTCTAATAATTGAGATTTTTTGTGTTGCATAAAAATCTAAGGTTTACTTCTATATATGCCTTAAACCATGCTCAGGGAATTTGTGGTGCATATATATCCATTTACATGACCCATTTGACTGATGCTTTTGCTGAAAAAGGACAGATACAAATTGATACAAATATTAACTGTTGGAGACTTGTGAAATTGTGATGGATGCTCACTTAATATTAAGTAATCTTTGTCATTATTTTCTGGCTAGTTTGTCATCATTCTTATCTAGTTAACGTTGTTCCCATAATCCCTTTGTCTATATATCACCCAGACAGAATTTTGGCCAATATTAGCAAATGGCAATAACTGCTCAAGTAATATTGACTGTAGAGCAGAAATGCCATGCGAATTGTGAATAATTGGCTAAGTGGCTAACATTGTCGTTCTATGAAAAATCAAAGATGTTTTAATAAACTACTGCTTAGGTGTTAGGCCTGTTCTTTTTCAATATCTAAAGATGCAGGCTTATACGCTGCACCCACCTCACCAGTTTATATTTACCTCAGGCAAAGCATGAACATATTATCCAGCTTGTTGGCTGAACGATGGCAGTGACTGATTTGATCTGGTGATGTCATGCAATGGATACCATCATGGCATCGTGCTCATGGTTATATGTCTTACTCCTAACCTGGGTGCCCCGGAACTCAGGATTTGTCTGTGGCTCTCTGTGCTGCTCTTGGGAAGTAGGTTTTGAGGGTTTGTATTGTATATAATTGGATTCTTCTGGCACAGTTTGAAAATTTGTTCTGAATTCACTTATTGGCAGCATAAATGTCGGGAAACCTACTTGATGGAAATGATCCCTTAGGTGTTGGCCCTCTAAAGATGACTTTGCCTTTGTGGTTAATGCTACACAAGCCTGTGGTAATTTGTGTAAGCCTATGCATGTTCCAGGGTTTGTCTTGATCTTTCATCATCACCTAGCACAGCTAAGTTTGCACATGAAAATTACAAACTTAGATTCTGCGTTATTTATCCCAGTGATTTAGTTTTCATACTTCTTGGGTACTTGAATGCAAATTGTGAAAAGGATATGCACATTTGGAGACTGGCATCAGATCTTTGTTTTTTGATGAGCGGAGGGAGTCTGCTTTTAGAGAATCAGGAAACGACCCACAATTGCTCCATCATATACAAAGGACATATGATGGCAATTGTCAAAGTGTGTTAGGCTGTCTCTCCCTTCTTCTTTTTCCTCTCATCCTTGAGCTGTATAGATTGATCTAACTTTTTGAGTTTAGCATGGCACCAAGTTTCCAGTTCTTGTGTTTCTATGTAATTAGCTGGTACCATTTACTTATACCTTTATTTATTCTAAAAATTCATCAACTTCATCTGGATATTTCTTTCGGACTCAGTGATTACATGATATGAATTCGCCATTCGGCTTCTTATGTATGTTCTGGTCTTTCATTCAGGCTCTTGACCTTATCCGAGGCAGGAACTTTCTGATGCTCATGGATTCCTGTTTAGAAGGCCATTTCTCAAATGATGATGGAACTGAGTTGGTGCGCTTGGCTTCTCGGTGTCTGCAATATGAGCCTCGTGAGAGACCCAATGCCAAGTCCCTAGTAGCTGCTTTGACTTCTCTTCAGAAGGAAGTGGAGGTAAACTGTTGCTAAGGAAGATTTCTCAATGTCGTTGCTTCTTGATTTCTCAAAGGGACCTATTCTGTACTTCCCTATGAATCTTGATTTTAGTTATTATTATTATTCTTGTTTTTTATAAAAATCAAGGTATTTTGGGCGTACATCTTATTTTGATAAGATGAATGCTCATGATCCTTAAAGGCTTATAAAATTGATTCCCTTTAGGGACCAATATTGCACATTGTAAATTGTGGCTTACCTCTTGAGGATCTTTTCATCAACACCTTCACTGGTTATGCCAAAATAATTATCACAATCACCTTGAGTGCCACCCGACAAACCTACTGGAAATTGCTTTTGTTTCTTATACTGAATTTCTCCATTTCCTTGTGGAAATCCATAATATGTATGGTTTGAATTAATTAGGACACTTCTCACTTTGTCCAAGTCACTTCTTTTTCTTCAAATCACTTCCTTTTCTCTTTGTGAGCAAGTGTGCTGGAATCTCAATTGCATGGGAGCCTTTTCTAGTCCCTTCTAGCACCTTATTGGGGCCTCCCTTGTGAGCTATCCCTATGCTTGAATTTGTTGTTTCTTTCTTGCCTTGATAGATGATTTGAATCATTTGGTACAAGTGGAATGTCTGTTCTCCATTTTTTTAGAACTTATTTTCGAGCCTATGGCCTTTTAGAAATAGAAGGGGTTTCTAGAGCTTCTCTTCCATCAGCAAGACTTTCCCCTGGTTTTTGGCTGCCCTTTTTTCTTTTCTTAGCTTTCGTACTCCCTAAGTATATATTTTAATTCCTGCACATTTCTACGTCTTTACACAAATTTGATGGAACATCAGATACTGCTTAGAGAATGGGGTGGGGCACAGGTGGTTAAGGGGGCGGATGCCTCAAATGTAACGTCCTCCCCTCCATTCTCACCATTAACAACTAAAAAAAAGAAATAAATCAGATATTGCTTAAAAAAAAGAAAAAAAAAAGAAACAGTGAACTTGTACAAAAAGGATCTCAGGACATGTCTTGTCCACCAGGTACCATCCTATGTTTTGATGGGTATACCTCATGGAGCTGCTTCCTTGACATCACCATCATCTTTATCTCCATTGGGGGAAGCTTGCTCGAGAATGGATTTGACTGCCATACATGAGATTTTGGACAAGGTTGGGTATAAGGATGATGAAGGAACAACAAATGAGGTATGTACTTTTTCTTTAGATTTTGTTATTTTGGTCAGTGATGTCACCCTTGACTCTATCATATCTTCATAATAATTGTAGTTCTCTCTCTCTCTCTCTCTCTCTCTCACAGTATCCCGTTCCCACTTGACTCAATTGTCTCTTCCCAAATATTTGTCTCTCTTTCTCTCTCCATTATGATATGGTTTTGGAATGTTTGAGCACATGCATGCAAATATTTATAAGTAGCTTGCCTTTTGATCCATTTACATCCATCTGTGTTGTGACCTGTTCATTGTTTTAGCAATGACGTGCTTGCTAACACACCTTAAATCAGGTATTCATGTTGAAACATCCATGAATACCTAGGCGTAAATAGATATGCATAATTGCATTTGATACATAAAACAATTTGTATGTAGTCATTGATTCTGGTTGTGTGAGCGCATCTTTTTCAATTCTAGTTGGTAAACTCATCCTAGGGTGCAAGGTTAAGAGCCTCAAGCCACTAAAGCTAATGAGGTTCAACTAGCTTCTATGACGATCAGCAACACATTGAATGAAGCTGTGGCCTTTGTAGTTAAGTTGACTGAGGAAGTCATAGTAGAGTTGATTTGAGGGACCATTTATGCCATGCCCTAAACATATTCTCACGTACGAAAATGATCACACACACAGAGGGAGGGAGTGATCAGGATTTATGTTTCTTGTATTCAATTAGATGGATCCTATGACACAAATTGGGTAGGCTGTGTATTTGGTGCTGCTCTTTCTAGGCTTTCAAGCTTAATTGCACCCAAGTTTTAGAAACCACTAATTCAGATCTCTTTGATACTGGTTAAAATTAATCATAGATTTATTTTAAAATGCTAATAGTTTTTCTTACTTGAACTGTCATCAAATAAATAAGGTGAGAATGTTCCTGTAAAAAATAGCTTACTGGCCATTTGTAGGAAGGGTCCACAACCAGAGGATCCTATCGAACTTCGATATGTTTGAATGCGTAGATAATTATCACTTGAATCCCATATCCATACATCGCAAGGTTGGATGGAAGCCAAAGGTTTGTGGGCCTTTTCCTACATCAATTTTAGGCATAGTTTGGACAAAGTGTTCCCCTGGAAAATATAAAATATTATTCATATGATTGATCCCTTCTATTTTTTCAGCTCTCATTTCAAATGTGGACAAACCAAATGCAAGAGACCCTGAATTCAAAAAAACAAGGCGATGCTGCTTTCAGGCAAAAAGAGTTTGCAACTGCTATCGATTGCTACACCCAGGTATGCTTTTTTAATCTAATTAACTTGAGGATTTTTATTTGCACCAATGTTTTTGCTATGTGCATGAGAGAGAGAGAGAGAGAGAGAGAGAGAGAGAGAGAGAGAGATTGTGATGCATTCTAGCAAGTCTCATTTATGTAAATACAGAGGAGGTTCTATTGTCTCATACTATACATTCTCTTGTGTCACAGTTCATAGACGTGGGCACGATGGTTTCCCCAACAGTGTTTGCACGCCGTTGTTTGTCGTATCTCATGAATGACATGCCCCAACAGGCCCTGCGTGATGCCATGCAGGCACTGGTCATCTCCCCCTCATGGCCTACTGCTCTCTACCTACAAGCGGCTGCTTACCTTGCCCTTGGAATGGAAGCCGATGCGCAAGAGGCTTTGAGAGATGGTGCATCTATTGAATCTCAGAAGATTGGAAAGTGAGAGATCTCATTGAAAAATACGCCACCCCCAAACTAACTGCCCCACCCCTCGGTTTTCTTGTCTCCCTCATGGATACATACAGGCATCTCTCTTTCTGTGGGGCACAGATACATTGATGAAGCTGCTGGATACATCATGGTGAAAATCTGAAAAGTGAAATATTCTCTCTCAATATATATTTTTCACTTTTTGTGAGTGGGGTTGGCTTAAGGAAAAATTGTAAGTTTGTGTACAGCAACTGACTACATATGGTTGTGTGAAATGTTGGTTTCACGTTCTGTTGATTTATTTGGTTGTAGCATTTTGATTCGTTTCCCTTTGATTGTTTCAGAGGTGAGAGTGCTTCTGGGTTTTCTGGTTGCAAATAATTCAGGAAAATGTGAGATTTGGGTTGTTTTGTAAGTTAACAGAACTTGTTGAGTCTGATACTCATTCCCGAAGGGATTCTTGTTATGGTGTTTTCTGGTTGCAAATGAAATAGGAAAACGTAAGATTTAGGACTAAAGTGTTGAATTTGGTTGATCTGGACTGCTCTGTGGCTATACTTGATTTTTATAATTTCTGTGTCTTCTCTCTTCTTAGGGCAACTCAGCCACGGTCATGGTGTCCCTCCATCGTTTTCATTCTCTCTACCTCAAATTTTGGAGGAATGACTAGTTGAGATGGACTTTCAATCTTTTATAATGGAATGTTAAAGTCCTCTACTCTGAGTCAGAGGGTATTCTCTCTATCTCTATCTCTCTCTCTCTCTCTCTCATACATAAACCCACAGAGTCATGTTCATATGGGATTCTAGCTCTCCTCTCTCATATTCGGATGGTGCTCTCTCTAACTCTTATTCGGATGGTATTTTAGTTGCACCTCTTTGTCCTCTTCAAGACATAAGAGTATATATATACACACACAGGTATATGTTTACACGTCTCTGTCCACTCCAAGACAGAGTGAGAAGCTCCTTGGAGATGCCTATTGATCTCTCTCTCTCTCTCTCTCT